AATCCTACAGCAATGTTTACAACTGAAAACAGTCCCATTGTCTTTGTAGCATCATTAGGAATTTGCTTCTTCAGCTTTGCTTTAAGTGAGTCACTTACATCACCAATTATGATATCAACAGCTTTTATTTCAGCTTTGTGATTTTTATTAGTAGAAAATATTCTGTTGTTATGTTCATCTACACTTGCATTTTTCACAAAAAGATGTGTTGTAGTCATAGGATAATTGGCACTTGATGGATTTTCTTTTAAAATTCTTTTTTTTAAGATTTTTATGTCATCTTGAGTATGATTACCTTCTCTCAACCTATTCAAAAGTTCAGCAAAATGTTTATCATCTTTTTGTCTCATAATTTCTGTCAACTCAAACATTTTGAAATGATCTTGCCACATGTTATTAGCTAATGGTCCATAATTATTGCCTTTTKTTGCTTCAAATATCCAACTATCAAAGACTGGTTTAAGTTGAAAAAAGTCACCAACAGTTATCAAGCTGACATTTCCAAATGGGTCATGTGATCCCATTATTTGTTGCAAACGCAAGTTTAAGAAATTGAACATTCCACTACCAACCATAGAAATTTCATCAATAAATATGACTTTGAGTCTGCCTAATTGTGCTCTTATAGTGTTTAGTCTATCTCTATCAAGTGTACAATAGTCAAAGCCTCTATTTGCAGGAATCTTAAAAGCTGAATGAAGAGTATTTCCCTTAATGTTGAAGGCAGCTTTTCCAGTAGGAGCAACTTTAATAACCTTTATGTCATCAGGATTCTCACCAGGAACAGTGTTGAAATACTTAATAAGGGCTTCATACAAAGCATTTGTAACTGTTGATTTTCCTACTCCTGCACCTCCTGTCAAAAATAGTGTTAACTGTTCATCTTTGGTTTYAATAGAATGCAATACATGGTAGAAGAATTGCCTTTGTTTCCWATTAAGYGATCTTACTAATTTTCTAAATTCGCTATCTTCCATGCGTTTTACAACCAGATCTTCCTGATCATTACTTCTAGGAAATATTCCCATGTCATCAAGTAATTCATACTGACTATGCTGCTTGTTTTTACCTGGGTCAAAGCAACCATGTTTTTCACTAGCTTTCTTCTCAACCAGCCTATCTTTTTCATTCATATGTTGTGCGTTAGGCGCTACGTTTGTTTCATCATCATCTTCAATTCGTTCTATATTTTCCATAGCTTTATCAAGTAACTCAGAATTGTGTTCATATTGACATCTTATTTCATTTATACTAGCCTGGGCTTCAAAACAGTCTTCGTATGTGTTAAAGTCTTTTATAATATCTTTTTGTTCATTTCGCCATGGTGTATAAAGCATAAGCTGTTCTCTACAATAGTTTTCAGCATCTTTTTCTTTATGAAAGCGCACAGATCTAATAATCTTAGGCTTTTTACGTTTAACAAGTTTTATTCCTCCTTTGAGTTCGTACTCTTCTTCATCAACCTTATTTTCATTATCAATTTCAAGATCATCATCAACGCTGTCATCAAAATTTCTTTCTGGTAGGTAGTTTTCTTTTGTTTTTGGAGTATTTCTAGTTTTTGTTTCACTTTCTGTGTTTTGGTTTTCTCTGACACAATTATACCAAGCAACAAAATCAGCTAAGCAAAGATGTTCAAGGTTGCGAGGTCTTCTTTGATACTTCTTAATAATATTGTCTGATTCTATGTCAAGCGRGTGATCAGGAAGATCATTAAGTTTGTCAACTGATTTTAGTAAGAAAGTTCTTTCATCAGGATTTGAAGTATTTATAAACTGAAAATCTCTTGATGCTCTTCTTAGAGGCATTTGCAAGACTAAATAAACTAACTGCTTCTTGTGCACTTATCTYTACAGCATTGAGAAACTTATTTCCAATGTGCCTAACTCTATCTCTTATATTCTTATCACCTGATTTTGCTTCATTGCAWGCAGTCTCTAAAAGTCTACTCATTCCTCTTTGTCCTTTAGTTATATAGTTAAGAATATATACTGCACAAGCATAAGGATCTAATACATATTGTATGTCCATATTAGCCCTCCAAGCTTTCAAAAGATTTGTGTTATAGCTATTTACTCTTATTTCTGATGGTGACCTTTTCAATAGAAGTGTGTCACGTTGAAGTGTGAATTTGACTGCATCTAAGTAATCATCTTTATTTAAATTCAAGTTTTGTAAGAATTCTTCAAATGTGATGTTCTCACCATTCTTCRTATCATCTAATAATGTTTTTACAGCTTCAGAATTACTTTCTATAACTTTAAGTTGATTTTCAGTTGATTTATCAAGTGGGGATAGAATCATACTACGAGGCATTGGTGGCAAAGGGAAATTAAATCTACAGACTTTCTGACCTCTTTTTTACATGTTTTTGCATGTCTGTGTATTTGGAGGTTCATCAATTCAGTCATATGTACAGAAGTGTCATTGTGACAAGTAACATATTTATCAACAAAGTCTGTAACCTCTTTGTCATTGCCCATAGCATCATAGGTTGGAGCATCTTTAATCCAAATCAAAGCATGAATGTGGGGAGATCCTCTTTGTTGAAACTCTACTCGATAGAAATAGTCCTGTATCTCTCCAATTGGAAGCAATGAGCTTTTCAAAAAATCATGAATAAACAGTTGGACCATATGTTCAAAGTTTCTTGCACAAGTAACAGGATCTGATTGAATCAAGTCTGATTTCTTTTGCCATGTCATAGATTTAACTTTAATTTTCACGAACTTGTTCGTAAAACCGCAGAGATGATTGAATTTTCGGCGGCCATTCGCACTAAGTTATATGTTCTGCCGATCGCTTCCGAGAGCTTCCTGTGTTTATGGGTCTTCCGAAGGGGTATTGATTGAATTTTGACGTCATTCYATTGTTACTTAYTCATTTGCATTAGACACGATAACAAAGTGTCTACTACTTCGTAGTAGGCACAAAAAGCAGTCGGGTTCCAAAAGGTCACATGTAAATGAAATTTTATTTGAATTTCTGCATACGTTGTGGATACCATTCGGTGTTACTTTGATGATAATCACCTTTTGCAACCCAACAAGGTTAATTCGACAAGGTATATGCAATGTGAAAATACATTAGTTGCATACCTTTTTGTGCGTGGAATCGATAATGCTTTCCATCGTGGATGTCTCTTATTTTCTTTTTATACAAAGAGCGTTTTCTATAAGTTTTCTTCAATGCTTGCTGAACTGTCTTATCTGAGGTAATGAAACCGATGATAATCAACTAAGTATTGGTAATGCTAAAGTAGATCGATATTTAAGAGAAACCAGCGAGGAAGTTTGATGAAAAATGTAAATTTTTGTGTTGTAAGTTTTCACTGATTTCCATAACTCAATAAAGCCGGAGGCAATTGTAATTGTTATGTTCTGAAGTAGAGACATTTGCAGTCCTGAAAATATGTATAGGAAATACACCACCGTTCAAGAAGAATTAATGAAAATTAAGCTCGTATTTTGATTTGAATTGATACCACGAGTCCGAGGCACGAGTAGGTATATCATACCTCATAAAATATTTTATTCTTTACAATTAATATTAAAGAGTAGAAATACTAGTTGCAAGTTATGTGCCTTTTTCTTCTGAAGAAGGCCGAAGTGCCGAAACGTCCAATAAACTATTGGTTATTATAGCTTCAAGTTGGTGTTTTGTTCTATTTCATTCTACTTATATATCATATGATATATAAGTAGAATGAAATAGAACAAAACACCAACTTATATATATGTATATATACATGTACATGTACACCTAACCAAAAAAATTCTGCAACTTTTAATATGTCTTTTGTTCTTGAGAGATTAAACAATAGGGAAACAATAGACATATTTTTTTGGTTAGGTTTATACTGTATATATATTCATATATAGCGCGCAGACGTGCAATTAAAACGACAAGCTTTTTCCACGAAATAATTTTGATGAATTTAAGGAACTTAATCGGCGAGCCGTTTTATAGTTCTTTTATAAATTTTTTCGGCCAATCAGAGCGCGCGTTATACATATATAAAWAAATATGAAATCTTATATAAAATATACACATACTCGTGACTTACCCGTGACTGCGTACGTCAATAAGGGTGTTTAATATGTACTTATTACACCCAACCTACCTGACAGGATCTTTTTTAGCTGCATTTCTAGACTTATAGTTACAAATTTCTTTTCTTTTGCGTTTTTCTTAAGGCAGCTTCTTTTGTCGCACTTTTTGCTAGGACGCAATGTCCGCTTGCAATTAGAGCAGTAATGGTGAACAACTGGAGTGAGTACCCCGAAAACTGATGACAGGTGACGCTTTAGGCTGTACAGAGTTTTTGGTAAGGTGTTACCGTTTGGTAGTATCGATCTGACGAAAGTTATGAGAACGCCAAGGCACTCGCCAGTAAGGCTAAACTGGAACCCTATCATGAATAGCATGGCACAGACGAAGGTTTTTGTAACTTTTCCCCTCGGAAACAAAGGCTGACCGGATGTTAATAAGTCATATGAATGGTATCTTGCCACTGCAGGATCGTTTTCTCTAGCTGGTGATTCAGTCTGATCTACACATCTGATTGCACATTTGAAGCAGCTATTCCTTCGGTTTCTGTAGTCAGTTGCTGCGGGGCTTCTGTAGCTGCAGGCTCGTCTTCCACGCAAACGAGAGAAAACCGTTTTGAGCGGTTGCCATGGATCACTATGAATAAAGCTTTCGGATGGARCCAATCAGAGATTTTCTTTTTTATAGCTATCCAATTAGCACGCACTATTCAAAAGCATTGGTCACCTGACCAACCACGTTGTCGGATGGGTGCCTTTGCATCTCCTCACCCTGCACCATCTATAACCGCGCGCCGTTGAATACAGAGAGGAGTCCAAAATTTTTAGGTGAGATTATTGACGTAATTGCTGTATTATATATGCCTTTTAATCTAATAATAGACAATTAKGATATGATCAAACGTTCATTTGAAAGTGAGGATAAACTTTCAAATGATCACTAGTTGAAAAAAAGCAAGCTTGCTGAAATCTCACGGGAGAAAGCACACCAAGGCCTTTTGTGCAAAGATGAAAAAAAATTGACACAAAAGAAATTGTATTTGCATGGGATTCCTCATAGGTTTTCGGTACATATACGACTACCAATATTTCATAGCTACTAGCACTGACTTTAATTCCTCTCTGCTTGTATAAAAACATATTTTTTTCGTTTTACTTTGAAGATCGTGCCCAAGTTTTTTTCCACAAAGCTTAACTCCATCCTCCAACATTTTGCTGACGACACTGGTAAGTTAATACCAATATATGTACCCCTTTTTTATTAAGTTCTTTTCCTGAAGCCATTCTGATTCATTTGTATTTCTTTACGAAGTTCCGACCATTTATAAACGTTTGTTTTTTTCCCTATGATATGATAAAACTATTTTTTCTACTTGCGTCGATTTTGTTTTTTCTTCTTCTCTGTTTTCAATGAGATATAAGAGAGCTCAAGCTGAGTTTCAGTTAAAATTGTTAAAATGTCGTCTTTTATGGGCAAGATACCAAACAACCGTGAGAAGATGCTTTTATTTCTTTCTAATAAATATCTACATAAAAGGCAGATTCTGTCTTAATCGAGAATGAAATATTTTTTTGATAGATAACTTGTTTTTGCAAACGAGGCGCATGCATTGAAAAACTTTTATAAGCTCGACCAAGCGTTATTGTACTACTATCTCAATATACACTTGAAGAAACTGTACTCTCTACCGGGGAATTTAGTTAATTACGGCAATGGGAACACTGTTTTAGTAAAAGAGCATTTGTTCAAGTGAGATTTGCGTTATTGTTTTGAATTTCTTTGCTTTCGCAGATTTGAATTTCCCGCTGAGAAACAAACACGGTTGACCGCATGGCGCGTAAATCCGTTAGACGGTCAGCAAAAATTTACAGACATCACATACTGGCATACTATTATGCCATTGCTGACGACATACATACTATAATCTGTAGACATAGGTTWACTTTTTCGTCTTGAGGGGCAATTKAACGGAACAATAAGATTATTGAATCTATTTGGAGTTTGTTTTCTACTCTTTCAAATTTTGACTCCATTTTGGTCGTTGAACTTGATCGCCTCTAATGGCTAATTAATTAGCTTATACTTTACTTCACTAATATAATTTCCATCCAAGACTTAATTTCAAAATGATTTATTGAAAGTTCTACAATTCCAATAAATATAATTTTTGCCTATCAGGATCATCATGTTCTTCCTCGTTTGTTGGAATGAGAAAAACAAAACCCGTCTAACTGAGGARCTACTGGAAGTACAGTCGGACAAAAAGCTTAGTTTTTACGGGAAAGACCCCGCCCCACAGGATCCATGTACAATGYAGTACAAAGGGGACATATGGACAGGATATGTCCTCTCGATCCACAGTAAGTTTTTCTTGTTCGTAATGCTTTGAAGATGTAATGATCATACAGCTTACCTCATGTCCACTATGCTCAAATGATTCCAGCAAAATCATTGTCGTCCGATCACCTTGAGGAATAATTCCTCTTCTTTCCTATAATCAAAACAAAACAAAAAACAAACGTTGAGAGTACCAGAAAGATCATGGATAAAATGAGGATAATAAAGATTGATCTTACAAATAAATTAGCAAAAAAAAACAGCCCGTTTGTCGAACTCGTCTGAATAATCCGGTATTTTTTTTTACAGAAATGAATGATCACACTAACCTCTTTGAATTACAACAAAATTCGTTGTGGCAGTTCTCACATCAAGATGAGATTACGGCTCTTTTTTAGACAATAAACCCTAAGGAAAACAACTGATGCTCTGATATTTGTGGCTTGATATTTTCTAAATTTGAATCTTCCACCGATCGGTGGATTGCATTGATTGATGGGCATCCTATTGGCTTTCTGTTATGACGTATTTCCGATTAAACATACAATAGTGTGAATTGTGACCAATATTTTACTCAAGTTAAAACAGACGACAATCAAATGCAATAACACAAYATAAATAGTAAAGCATTTTGTTTTCCAATAAATCCACTCTGSCCTTTGGTGTGAGCTACAAACATGTTATCACAACAAGAATACACGGTTCTAGAATTTAATATTTTCCGTATATTGATGAGAATTGAGACTAAGTCACGCTATAGGACACTTACATTTCTGGTCATCATCATCGTCTGGTTCAACATTCCTTTCTGACGTTCCTGGCACACCTGTTAGTTGAGGAACGAATACAATTTTATATTTTGACACTGTGCAATTGCAATTTATTGATTCAGTCTACTTCTTAATCAATCCAACGAGCGAAAAAAAAGCAAGAAAGTATTATTGTGACTTTGTACACGATATGACGGATGCTTAACTTAGTTTTTAGTTCATCGTCAGCTTCCTTCTTGGTTGCTAGTTAAAATATTGTTGTCATCAGAGCTGAATCTCCATTACTATACTATAACCAGCGTTTGGAAGTGTCTAACTGAGCATACTTTGACATATTTTTACAGTGCAACTTGACGAGGAGTTTCTTAGTGAATCTAAGAAAAAGAGTAAGTAAAAAGCTAAGTCGTATTTGTTGATCTTACATCTTACAACTTTTGCGCATGCGCATAGATCTCCACCAAATGTTACAAACATGTTTATCTATTCAAGATACGACTATCCTGAAAGTTTGGTGTAAATCGACCCAATATCACGAAAGTTAGACATGATCCCATATTCCAAAAAAATGAGTAAATTTGAAATTCACGTGTACCTACAGTAGTTAGCACGGACCCGCATCTACAGAGAGACAAATAACCATATCTTTTGCGCATATCAACCGATCTTATCGAAACTTTTCACACAAGTTCTTCTACATATGAAAAATATCTTATGGAAGTTTCGCTGATATTCATTAAATAGTAGTGGAGATATGTGGATGCAAAACTATAACAAAATTAGCAATACTTTTTATAATTTTCATCACATGCCTCAGGCYACTTTTTTTATTTTTTCACCTCCATCTGTGGAACATGTAACACTTCAAGTAAGTAAATGGGCTTTCAAATATAAGCCAATTCCAGGTAATGACAAAAACAGTGACAGTTAGCCGATCAACCACGCCCATCAAGTGATATGACGTCACATGTGTCAATTTTGGAGGTCATCCGACAGCCTCGAGACTTATATTTTTGGGAAAGCCTGTAATCTCARCATTCTAGATATGCAGTTTGAATATTATCTCTAAGATATTTGCTAAGATGTGGCTCATTTTGCATAAGAGGTGAGGATTTTCTGTTGACCATAGATTGAACAAAATCAAAAATCAATTTATTCAATAATAATGTCAAGTGCGTGCATTTCAATATAAAATGTACGGCTATTAAATAAAGTAATTCACAAACTAATGAGTACATTAAAAACATCGCTTAAGAGGGGTCGCCCACCATGCCGTCAGAATGAGGGTTGCGATTAAGAAAATAAAAACAAAGAATTGTAGGATTATTTCAGGCAATGCCTGTTGTTTTACCGGACATCTTCGTTTCTTGTATTGCCTGTCTCTCTTTGATATTTCATTAAATCACAATCTTTGTTCTAACAGTGGTGTATTATACGTTAAGAGCATTGTCTCTTCGGAAGTCATGCTGGATTCGAACCGACMCTCCTTAAGGAGGTTCCAGGTGACTTTTTACCCGAGACATTTTAGCCCTAGGTTTTCAAAAAAAATGAATACATAAATTGTACTTGGATAAAAAATGATAGAGTGATCTTCTTCTGACTGTGAAATATCTATGTTATTAACAATTCTAAAAAGCATCTTCATCACTATCCGAAATATAATCACTGAAGTTGTCATTACTGTCAGTATCTCCTTCGTCCGCATCCAGGTCTTCTTCATCCGACTGCTCTTTATCCACTGTAGTGTTACTCTCAACTACAGGTGGTGTTTGGGTAATGCATGCCCATGAAATGATATCCTCCCAATGATATGGGGAAACATGCACACCTTCCCAGAGTTTTTCCAATTTGACGCGGTTGACTTCCAGTGACATTTTCTTTTCGGAAAGCAGGGCMCTCAAACCCTTATCAACAGAATTACTTGTCAACGTGGCTTTTAAGTCCTCGATACACTTAACTTGTGCAAAGTGAAATGATAGTAGCTGTATCACTTCACTTTTCACCAAGTGAATTTCCTCTTCGCATCTATTCTTCATAAAGAGGAGATCTATAAGCTGTCTCTTGATTGACTGGGGARRGCATGTTGGAGACAAGGTATTGCCAGAAATGGGATTGAAGATAGTGTTTCCCGGATCCTTTACATCTTCGAATTTCAATGGGACAGAAGACAATTCATTAAACGATGCTAAATTGCGCTTTATCTGATTTGTAACTRTCTTTAGCTGCTTTGAAAGTTTTATAGCAATGCTTTGGCCATCTGGAAAAAAAAAGAATTTAAATTACAACAAGCCCACATGGTTTTAAAAAATTATATAGTTTTGGGACTTCATATCTGCATGTACAAATTCAAGTTAATCCTCATAGTAAGCTGAAATTTTGACAAATATCAGCAGAMAAATTTCAACATGTGTACAGACAACAAATAACAAACACACATTATTGAAATGGAGGATGGCCGGAAAAATTCTAATTAAACACTTTCTTTAGACTTAGCATGGCTTCAGCATGCACTTTAATAATTATTATGACACTGACAAAACAGGTTGTATACCTGCATATTTCTTTTTCAATTCCAATAGAAAAGCCCTTTCAGATGACATTCTTTGCATTTTCAACAAAAGGTTACCCTTTTGCTTCTTGAAGAGGCTTTGTTGCATAGCCTGGAATGTGGTGTCACTTTCCCTCCATCTTCTGCCAATTTTTTGTTTCTTCTCAATGGCACACTTTTCATTCCTAAAATGTAATGATATTAGCACATTACTAGTACAAGCACTTATAAAACTTATTAATAATGCATGAGCTATTACTCCAATAAGGGTTGTCCATTTCATCAGGTGATTGACCTTGTAAATSAGATACAACACTGTGATACAACACTAGTGTTGTATAAGATTTACAACACGGTCGTCACCTTGAGACAACCCAACACTAGCAAAGGTCTCAGTTTTAGTGTCGCATCATAGACCTTCACTAGGTTTTGAAGCAATCAAAGACGGATAACAGAACTGGCTTATGCAACAGATGGCTTGCTTTCCATGTGGGATGGATAATTATTCAAAATGTTCTGTGTTGCAGTAAATTGCGCATGCTTAATAGCGACTCAACTCAGCAGTTTCCTTAATTGCCATTTTTTGTCATTTATCTCACTGTAATTCATGTTAATTTGTGTTGGAGTTTTATAAGTCGTTTACAACATTCGCGTCCGTGTTGTATGGGAATTACAATCTCTCGCCTGCGGCTCGAGATTGTAATTTCCCATACAACACGGCCGCTCATGTTGTAAACTATACTTATAAAACTAATTAATAATGCATAAGCTATTGCTCCAATAAGGGCTGACCATTTAATCAGGCGATTGACCTTGTAAATCTGATACAACCACTAGTGGTTGTATCAGATTTACAACACGGTCGTCACCATTGAGACAACCCAACACTAGCAAAGGTCTCAGTTTTAGTGTCGCATCATAGACCTTCACTAGGTTTTGAAGCAATCAAAGACGGATAACAGAACTCGCTTATGCAACAGATGGCTTGCTTTCCATGTGGGATGGATAATTATTCAACATGTTCTGTGTTGCAGTAAATTGCGCATGCTTAATAGGGACTAAACTCAGCAGTTACCTTATTTGTCATTTTTCGTCATTTATCTCACTGTAATTCATGTTAATTTGTGTTGGAGTTTTATAAGTCGTTTACATTATTCGCGTCCGTGTTGTAAACTATACTTAAACTGTGCAACATAAATACCACTATATACTGCTAAATCATGCTAATTCTATTGTTTAATTAACACTATTTTGCAGTAAATATTGCAAACTGTTACACACTTTTAGTGTATGTACTCTACCAATAGCCTTGTTAAGACAGCATTTATTTGTTAGTTTACTAAATCAGAAAAATGAGCAAAGGTTGTAACACTGTGATTGCATGTCCAGCTGAGCATTACTAACATTTATAACACACGAAAGTAACACATACATGTTACAAAGCATAATATAAAACAACATAATGTATGACAAAACAACATAATGTATGACAAAAGCACACAATGTATGGCATGGCATGACAATGCACTGGATTCTCATTTCCTATTTTGCTGAACATATTACATGGAACACTGCACTGTACTACACTTCACTACATAATAATACCTTTTTTTCTGTTTTTGGATCTCGTCCACTTTCTGTTCATTTTCATTGGTAGAATTAACAATAGCATTTCTGTTGAAAGGTGAAACCATTTAAGAATTGACAAAATAACACTAATTTGGATGCTGCACAATTAAGTTAAGCAAATGGAATACCAGCTAAGATTAAATACTGTACATAACAAAACTGACATAATTATTGTAACATAATTCGTCTATTTACCTCAATTGTTTATTTTCAACCAATAAATCAACATAATGCTCCTGCCACTCAAGTTCAAGCACTAATGACAAATGATGTAATCATAGTTAAAGGGAATGACACATGCTAGTTATAAAAAAATTGTTATACCTTTCTCTCTTGGACTTATAGATTTCAATTCTTCAGACTGCCATTCAACAATCTCTTTTGAACCACAAGGAACTGAAAGTTATATAATTCACATTAATGCAGCAGTAACATAATGGACTTATATACAGTACAGTATTATATCATAATGAAATATCATAATTGGCCTTTCTCTAAAAACATGTCATCGTTTTTTTTTTTAAATAACTTGTGAATTATTTGCAAAACAGTTGGACAGCATATATAGACAACATTCTTTAAGATGATAAAATTCTGCAAAACGGTTCTTAGCTAGTTTCTCAGTTGTGCTCACATGTTAATAACGATAATACATGTACCTGGAAGTGCATTTGACATTTCTTTGATCTTCTTGTCAGTCTCAGAAAGTATCATCTCTGCTCTTTTTAGTTTGTTTTTAAGAGACATGCCTGATTAAGTGCACAAACAATAATTTTATAATTTTGAATGTATAAAAGTTTGTAGCAGTAAATAGTGAGAAATGACGATGGGAGAACAACATTCATCCATAACAAAGCACTACCAACTTTTAAATATCTGTTCATTTTTCTAAATAACCCTACCAAATTTTCCCCGAAGTCTTTCTCCATAATGCAGCAAAGCATCAGTGAGGACATCTGTTCTCTTGTCCGCTGAYATCTCTTTAGTCATACGGGAAAAATCCCTCAAGTAAGACCATAGCCTTTCCACTCCCTCTCCATCAGTCAGTCCCACTCCTTTTAACCGTCTTGGGCTGTATTTAATCTGAGAGAAGCAAAATGTTGTATTATGCCTGAAGCATTATTAAGATGTAGAATTGTGGGGGTATCAAACAATCAYAGAACATTAAAAAATACCAAAACACAAATATTACATTGTTATGTACCTGACATGAAGCMTTGTGGYCATAACAGTGGAAAATGGGTATGGCCAATCCAACATTGTTAATGAGATCATCTTGGTTGGTTTTCTACAACAATGAATTTACATCTTCAATTACTATACATATTATATATTTAGTAGAAAATAACATGTGTCAAGAGRAGACCTCCCCTTAAAGTAAATCTTTTTTACCCAGTGTTCTATCTAATGAACAATAATTATTAATTATATTTACCTTTAGGTGTTTTTCAAGTATGCATGCTATATCGTACATGACAATGATTTTCACATTCTTGCCATTGAATTGATTTCTCAGCTTCTGGAGCTCATAGACAGAGTACGATATCCTGAAACATGAGCAACTTTCGATGTAACTAAAATGTA